CATACTTAGATGAATCCTTAAAATGAAGGTTCATGCTTTAGTTTTCTTTGTTGACCACTGAAAAGTTTTATCCTTATCCTGTTTTATGGATACGAAAGCATAGGACTTGTGGGGGAGAATCCATCCACTAACCTAACCCCTGTTACTATCTTGAAAGGGAATAAATGGTTTGTCCTATTCATTCCTGCACTCTTTAAACCATTTTTTCTTTTTCTTTTTCTGTTTAGTCATAAGTTAGAAAAGCCAATCTCCTTTAAGTAGCAAACCTAGGGCAACCCGCCTCTAATGCCAATTCTTGTAGCTCACTTTTTGAAGTCAGGAAAAAGTTGATTGGAAGGGCGATTCCAAAACATGGTTTCTTGGTTTAGTCCGGTTTTCACAGTGATTGTGAAGGTAGGCTCGCTTAAAGATAAATAAGAAAGGTATTCAAAGGGATGCTAATAAGTCAAAAAAAGTAATCTTTCCATGGCCCGGTAGATTAAGTGGGGATTTTGTGATGAAAGCTTTCCGAAAAGCTAGTCGTGGTAAGTGGGTAGGATTTAACCATTTTCATTAGTGAATTTCCTTATTCGCTTTGTTCTTACCATCGAGTATAAAACAAGTCTTTTAAGCCAAAAGGTCAGAGTACTTCACACTTTTCTTCCAGCTTTAGTCCTATTTTCCTCTTAATGTTTCCAGTAGCTCGATTCAAGAAGTATGAAAAAATTTCTTTGAGGTTTTATCATATATGAATTGGAACAAGAAGAAAGCAGAAAAACACCTTACTAGATCTAGCACTTTTAATTTTTTACTAGATCTAGCAATTAATTAATCTAAATTGTGCTAGATACTTAAATTAAAAGCTAAAATAAATTAGCCTACATTATGCTAGATACTTAAATTGCTCGTTGATAAAACAAGCAACTAATATATAGTTTGATCAACAGACTATTTCATTATTTGAATATCCAATGTGTTCAATAATTGTGTAACCACTACTTTATTATTGTTTCATTATTTGAATATAATTTTATTTTTATTTATTATTTTAATATAATTTAATTATTTATTTTTTATTGTTTGGATATAATTTGATCACTTGTTTTTTTTTTTTTAAGATGTCAAATGAAGTGAATGATATGATTTTGGATTCTACACCTAATCAAACGCAATTGACTTCTCAACTTCTTGCACATGATGAGGTAACAAAAAGTGAAACTGTAAATTCCAAAGTTATGAGACGAGCATCTAAGCCATGGTCAGAGGTATGGGATCACTTTATTAAATTTGTTAACGAGAAAGATAATCGTAAAGCTAGGTGTAATTATTGTGACAGAAAATTTTTTGCTGATCCTAAAAAGAATGGAATCACTGTTTTAAAGAATCACATGAATTTTTGTAAAAAACTTTCTCGTGTTAGTGGGGATGATGGTACTCAAACAGAATTGGTGTTGGTGTCAAGAGGAGCGTAATCTTTAGGCACTTGGAAAATTAATCGAAATGCTATTAGAAAAGTTGTAGCTAAAATAATCATTCTAAATGAGTTGCCATTTAGATTTATGGAGTCAGAAGGATTTAGGTATTGCATGTCAGTTACATATCCTAGATTTCATGTACCATCACGATGGACAGTTGCTAGGGATTGCTATCAACTTTATATTGATGAAAAGACTCATTTGAAGCAATTCATGAATCATTTTTCATAAAAGTATCTCTTACTGCTTACACATAGACCTTATTACAAAGAGTCAATTATATGTGTCTTACGACTCATTTCATAGATAAAGATTGGAAACTAAACAAAAAGATATTAAATTTTTATCCCATTTCTAGTCACAAACGTGAAGCTATTGGTAAGGCGGTTGAAAAATATTTACGTGATTGGGGGATTGATAAGATTTTTACTATTACAGTTGATAATGCTAGTTCTAATGATGTTGCAATTGCATATTTGAGGAAAAAATTAAACAATGCTGAAACTAGTATTTTGAGAGGTAAATATCTTCATTTGAGATGCATTACACATATTGTTAATCTTATTGTTTATGATGGATTGAAAGAAATGAATGAAACAATTACTCGTGTTAGAGAGGCAATAAAATATGTGAGACAATCACCTTTCAGGTTAGTTAAATTTAAAGAGTGTGTTGTGAATGAACATACTCAAAGTAAAAGTTTATTGTGTTTGGATGTTAGCGCTAAATGAAATTCTACTTATTTGATGTTGGATACAGCTTAAAGTTTGAAAGGGCATTTGATAATGTTGATCCTTATTATAAATGTAAGCTTTTGATGGAAGTTGGGGAGCCCAATCAAAATGATTGGGTAATTGTTAAGAAGTTTTGCCCTTTCTTGCAACAATTTTATGATCTCACTATGAAAGTTTTAGGTACTTTTTACGTCAAATCTAATACTTTTCTTAAAGATATATGTGATATTTATTCCACTTTGTGATAATGGCAATTAAATCATGATGTTAAGTTGAATGCAATGGCAAAGAGAATGAAGGATAAATATGATAAGTATTGGGAAAATATAAAGAAGATGAATATGTTGATTTATATTGCCTCTCTTCTTGATCTTTCAAAAAAGTTTCCTTTTATTGAATATTGCTTCATGAAAATGTATTCTTCTTATGAAGCTTCATTGATGATTAAAAAAGTACAACAAGCAATAAAAAACTTGTTTAATGAATACAAAAGAATGTTAGAACCTTAGTATGAGCAAATTGGTGAAAGTAGTCAAGTGAGCCAAATGTCACAGCCCACCGATGATGAAAGTGGAAATGGAATGACAAAAGAGAAGGAAAGCTTTAAGTCTAAGTACAAGAGGTATAGGATTGAACATGACAAAGATGAATATAAATCAGAATGGGTTAAATATTTGAGTGAGGAGCCTGATGATGATGACAGTGATGATTTTGATGTTTTAACTTGGTGAAAACTCAATAGCTATAGGTTTTCTATCATTTCCCATCTAGCTCGTGATGTATTAACAATTCCTATATTCATAATTGCTTTCGAATATGCTTTTAGCATTGGTGGTCATGTGCTTAATGCATATAGAAGCTTTTTAACTCTTAAAATTGTCAAGCCCTTATTTATGCTCAAGATTGGTTACGTAAATCTTCTAATCTTGATTCATTTCAACCTGAAGATGATTTGACACAGCTTGACAAAATGGATTTAGGTAATATTTTATTTAGACCATCATTTATTTTTTAAGGATTATTATTTTTTATTTTTTTATTTGTTTAAAGCTTACTTTTGTTATTTTTTGTTTATATATTTTTAGATTTGTCAAGAATTATCTTAGATCCAGTAATTGATTAAAAAAAAGGTGCATGGACCTTTTGAAGTAATTTCATTATTAATTTCTATGAATATTTGTATTTAAAAAATATTTATTGTATTCTTTGACAACTAATTAAAGTTTTGATATCTTTAACATCTTAGGAAACAATAAAGGATGTGCACCAAAGTTATGGGATTCATGTATGAAGAATACTGTTAGAACTTGAAATGTCCTTTAATTAGCTTGTTTTATGTTTTTTATGAACTTTTATATCCATTTGCCAACTTGGAGTGTCTTTAGCTTGTTTTATGTTTTGTATGAGCTGTTAGCTCAATTTGTCAACTTAAAATGTCTTTTATGTTTTACTCCAAAGTTATGAGAATCATATTTGCTTGATTTACTTTTTTAAGTTGGCCTATTGACTATTGAAAACTTGTTTATGTGTTGAAATGACAATTATTATGTATTGATGACTTTATTTGTTATTTGATATATGTTAGAGTAATACTTTTTAAAACTTATTGTTTAATTTATTTTGATTAAATAAGTTTAGATGAGTATTTATTTATTTTTTTCTTGTAAAATATTGTATAAATTATTAAATTCTTTAGTGATTTAGTTTGAATGGTATGTAAATTTGAGTTTTATTGGATTGAATTTGTAGTTAAATAATTATTCAAAATAAGAAAAAAAACTATAAAAAATTTGATTATTTAATTAAATTAATCGAATCGAACCGATTTTTGATCGGTTCAATTAAATCGATTAATTAAAATTTTATTGGTCGATTAAATTATTGATAAATAAAAATCGATTAATTCAGTTATTAATTTTTTCATATTGAACTGATTTAATCGACCGACTGCTCACTCCTAATTTCAACATATGAAAATTATTTTTATTTATTTGTGGTAGAGCCTTTTATTTATATCTACTATGTTTGTATTTATATACAAATTTTTCATGCAAAAACGCAAAAAAAAACAAGAGGAAGGAAATAAATTCTCAACCAAGCAGTGCAACTCATGTCAAAATCCGGTTGGATAGACACAATAGCAACTTCTAGTTGGGCCCATTGAGAAGGTGGGGAAGGAAAGAAAAAGAAAATAAAAACTAATAATAATAACAGAAAAAATATTTTTTTTTGAATAAATTTGTAATTTAAAAAAAAGTGAAAATCTAATAATTTTTATTTTTAAATATTTTAATTTGAAAGAAAAATTAAGAAAAAAAATTAAAAAATTTATTTTTATAAAAAAATTATTATATCTATATTTTTATTATGATATTAAATTTAATTATATAATTGACATATTTTATAAAAATAATTTTTATAAATATTTTATATAATATCATAATTTATAAATATTTTATAATTTTTTAACTTTAATAATAAAATAAAATATTATTAGAATAAATTAAAATATTAAATTAAATATAAAATTAAAAGTAAATAAATAAATAATTAATATATTTTATTATATTAAATATATTTAATTTTATTCACAAAAAAATTTATACAAATTAAGTAGTATAAAAATATATTTATATATTATATATTACTTATTAAAAAAGTTATAATAAAAAATATTATAATAAATTATTTTTTTTCTTTTTTATTATTTATCTAAATAAGAATTATTAAAATTTTTTATTAATTTTAACTATTCAAACAATTATACATATATTTTTTAAAATTTTTTTTATTTTTTAATATTTATCCATAAGGCAAATTCAATTCTCCTTTATAAATGGTTAAATACCCATTCTGTAACGCCATTGCAGAATCTCACACTTTCCCAAACCCCATTTCTGAAGAGCAAGAAGAAGAGTGTCCGCTTTGGGCCATCCACCTCAACCTCCTCCTCTTCTTCTTTCTTCTTATTATATAGAAGATTCTTCTTGCAAACTCTAATGGCCCAATATACATTTATTGCCACTATTTGTCTTCTTATTCTGTCATGTTCGTTCATATCAGGTACTCATTGGGAGACATTGAATGATGTTTACTCAGTTCTATAGTTAATAACTATGATTTGGTTTCAAATTTGGATTTTTTGAAACTAATTTTCATTACATTGTAAACAGGAGTGCAAGCAACAACCTTTACAATAGTAAACAAGTGTGACTATGTAGTATGGCCTGGAATTCTCTCAAACGCAGGTGCTCCAACACTTTCTACTACGGGCTTCACTCTCCAAAGAGGTGAAACCAAAACCATTACCGCACCGACATCATGGGGAGGTCGCTTTTGGGGTAGAACCCATTGCTTGCAAGATTCCACTGGAAAATTTTCATGCCTGACGGGTGATTGTGGCTCCGGGAAGCTAGAATGTTCAGGAAATAGCGCTGCTCCTCCTGCAACTTTGGCTGAATTTACTTTGGATGGTGTTGGTGGTCTTGATTTTTTTGATGTGAGTTTGGTGGATGGTTACAACGTCCCTATGTTGGTAGTTCCTCAGGGTGGCACAGGGCCAAATTGTACGTACACAGGCTGCGTTGTGGATCTCAATGGCTCTTGTCCTTCGGAGCTCAGGGTGATGAGCAGAGATGGCAGAGATGGCGTCGCTTGCAAGAGTGCTTGCGAGGCCTTCCGCCAGCCTCAGTACTGTTGCAGCGGCGCGTATAACACACCCTATACTTGCAAGCCTTCTTCGTACTCGGAGGTCTTCAAGATAGCTTGCCCACGCGCCTACAGCTATGCCTATGATGATAAGACCAGCACCTTCACATGTGCGAATGCTGATTACACGATTACTTTCTGTCCTTCGCCTAACACTAGGTAAATTTACTTTGCAAGCCTTTTCAACTTTTTTTTAGCATTTTTAACGTTAAAGGGTAATTTTGTCATGAAAAGAACGCTCTATCGGCAAAGAGTGTAACGTTCGCGAACTTTTTCCCGTTGGTTTGGACAAAATTTTGCTATCATTTGACATTTACGTGCTGAAACTGCTAGCCGTTGAGTCAAAGCCCTGGGAGCTTGCCTAATTCTAAAGATTTGGTATGTTATGGTCATATCTCCAATAAAGAAAATCTAATTAAGATCGACATGCTAGGTAGAGTGGGGGTGGAACGGTCATTTTAGTCCTTCTGACTGAAAGAGATTAGCTGTCTAATTAATGCGCTTCACTGGAAACATGAAATGTGGCCTCCAAAACAGACGAGAGGGGAGCTGAATGTAACTGCATCAATCCCTCGCCGAATCCCCATAAACCCTGGGGATAGGCATCGTTTTTTGATACCAGACCCGCAAATTAAGGCCATTACTCTGCCAGGCTGAACAGTGCACGCTCATCAAAGTTCTATCATTGTAGTTAACGGGCGGTTCAGGGAAATCGGTTTCCAATCCCAAGGGAGCACGTTAGTATTATTGTCAACATATTTTACCATAACGTTGCAGTTGCGTTTTTTTTGTTTTTTTTTATGTTTCGAGTTTTTAACGGCTATTTTTGGCACGTAAATTGCAGTCAGAAATCATCACAAGGGCAGAACACAACTCAGGGGCAGAACAATGAAACAACAACGACAACGTCACCTCTTATCAACAGCACAATGGTGTACGAAGGTGCCTTTTACGACGAAAGTGCGGCATCACCGTCCACGTGCACCCACGTGTTCGGATCACATCGGATTGCGGGAATTGTTGGCATCACAATGGCGATTTGGTGGTCGTGGCAACTCTTCTATCTTGTTCACTAACCTTTATCTGTAGGGTAGGGGCCATAAAGGGCCGTAAACTTAGAAAAGGAAAACTTAGGGACAGGCAGAATATAGCTAGGCCCCATGCCCCCGTCTAACTTTAGCCCATTGGAGTGGTGGAAGTGTCTGTATCAAACATGGGCCTGTGACCAGGTTTGGTCCCATGGCTTGTCCACGGTAACGTGGAATCCAGTCATGACAGAAAAAGCTCACCCGTCTCAACTACCGCTCCTCTCTAGCTAAATTTAGCTACTGGGGTTTTAATTAGTGTTAGAGGTGATTGGGCAAGCTAGCTGTTTGTTGTATTTCCTTGTCATTTAATCTCATATTCCATTCACAATTTCTTTCAATTTCCATTATTAGTAGTAAACCTTTAATCAACCGCACGAAGCATGCAACTTTCTTTGAAAGCAATAACTGCGGAGGTGTTTAACGTTAACTTTTTATTATTGTAAATTACAAGACGGTAATTTGGTGACTCGTGCAAATGTTGATGTAACCAGACTATGAACTAAAGTTTTTGCAATAAATGTTTTTGGATCATAAGTAATTTGTCAACAACATTCTTAATTAGTCCCACTATTGGGTATTGGACTGAAAATGAAAAACCTCTTTATTATTAGTATATATATATATATATATATGCTCTCTCTGGAATTCTTTTGGAGACGGGTGGATCGGAGAAGAAGATATAAAATATTGCTTTGCGTTTATTTGTTCAGACGTCGGACTTCAAAATTGGACCGGGGTGGTATCACCTGATTTTGGGCCTCAACTTAATGACCCACGAGTACTGTCTACTTTACCAAATTGGGTTCGAGTTTGATAAAACGTACTAGAGATCGATTAGGAATTACTGCACGGGTCTCGATATCAATCAAATTCCAATAAGTAGATTTAATAATTTTAAATATAATATAATAATATAATACAAAATTTATATAAATAAAAAATATAAAAATAATATAATTTAAAATTTTTATAAAATTTATAAATAAATTTAATAAAATTAAAAATATATTTTTTATATTTTTATATTAATATAAATTATAATACGTAATTTTTATATAAAATATAATATAAATATATAAATTTTTAATATTTTACATAAATTTATTAATTATCAATTTTAACTAAGGGTCCGTTCATATATGCTTAGAAAACATGAAATTCCATTAAATTTGTAGAATTCATACCTAATCCGTAACTTATTTAGAATATAATAATAAGAACAAATCATTTCAACTATATTAATGACTCGTTTGTGCCTACCCTTGCCTACGAATTTCGTTTTTGCGGGTTTCCAACTACCGCTGTTGCAAGTTTCAAAGCTGATCCTTAATTCAAGGACCTAATATCCTTATTTGTTGAAGCTGTAACTTTTTTTTTTATATATAATTTGTAATATTAATTTTTAAAAATAATTATATAAGTTAGTTTAATTAAAATTAAAATTCTTTTTATTGTAATTTTATAAACAAATCAAGTCGAAATAAAGTTATAATGACCATATGTGCCAGTAGAATAAAAGTAGCATACGGAAAAATTTTCTGGACACTTTCTAAGTACTATCTGTCTACGCATCTAGTCAGCTTCTTTTAATGAAGGACAGGCCATCCGACTCAGGATTTTTGACCGAGGCCTCCTTTTCATTTCTTGATGTAAAAGAGATTTTCATCACAATTCAAACGTGTATATGTAACTTACTGGCTTCTTTTAAAATCTTAAATTTAAAATACTTGGCTTCATTATTCTACTTCTTTTCTTTTCAGTAAATGTTAAAGCAGTGTGTCGTCGAAGATTTGGAAGATACAGAGTTACAGACTCCCTTTTGACCTCTTTAATTTCCACATCTCTTCTACTAAACTCGTGCATTTCCCTAAAGAAAGCTTTATCAAACTCAAAGGCTCTCAGACAAAAGCTGTTTAGGTCCCATGAATCTATGATATTTCCAAATGTATCCCTTTAGATGATTCAACAAGTCGGATATTGTGGGGATCCCTTGATGATTTTACCCAGAAAAAGTTGTGTTTCTTGGTTCCCGCGGTATAGAACATCACATATCATCAATATGGCCCCGTTAACATAATCTACTACTTCTTGTGCTTGCCAAGGTATTTTATTCAGCTCTTATCAGGGATTTGATACGATTGATATTGACTCTCCTAACAGATAATGTAAATTCGAGAAACAAAAGAGAAAAAGCAAACAAACTCTCTCTCCGCTTTAGTTAGAGATCCACAAAATCAAATATAGGCTTCTGTCGGTATGACGCCAATCTTTACTAAAGAAATAGAAAGGTGAGACTGTGAGGAAAAAGGAAGTGATGGGAAAAAAATTATATGAATAACAGTAACAATTATCCAAATGGCTACTTTAGACGATGGATAACATGTTAAAGTACAATCTCAGACGTTGAAACTTGAAAGATCTCTCATGCTATACGATAGTTGAGAGTAATTTTTTTGCAGACAAGTTGACTCCCCATGCATTCTAATACGTTTGCATTAAATCAAGTAAGTAAACTAATTTTGTCTGCAGCAACTCAACAGGTCGTATTGCTTTTAATCTGTCATGACATTATCTGCTTAAATTGCTGATAAGTGCGTTAATTAGGAGATGGTCAAACAAAGTTGATGTGATTTATATATATCCTTGGAAGTGAAGGGCACTTATCGGTGGCGTCGACGGATCAAAGTAAATGCCTTCAAGCTCCTGGTCACCGATGCTTGGGATTCTTTAGTTGAGGGATTGTTTTCTCTGTGGATAAATTTGTCTAAATTAGGCAGCTAGCAAGCTAGCTCCGGCGGAAACTTTTGAACATGCAACGTAGACATCCCACTTTTGCATGTCATTACGTTTATAATAAGATGATATGTTAGTCATGCATGGTCAACTGCTTGTTTTGGCAGGCTAGCTATAATTTCCTGATTGATATCAGCCGCAAACGATTAGTATATTGTTCTTCCCCGAGCAGCGAAGCTTGGAAACCTTTTAGCACTTTTAGGTGTAGACGTACTTATTCTTAATGTGCATGTTCCAATCGATAACGATGTGGCGATCATCGTAATGAGTAAAAGAAAAGGATCCTCTACCAATATTTTTCTTAACGATTAATTAATCATCATAATTAATTTGCAAGTCCAAGGAGGAAAAAAAAACTACAACAATTATCGTTACATGGCATAATATCTATAATTCTATATATACTTCTTGTCTGGCTATTTTTTGGGACAACATTATTTTGATCATATATATGTATGTATATATGTGTGTGTATATATATATATATATATTATAATATACGTACATAAACAAAATTTTAGTAGCATTACATGTTTTCAAAATTAACCGTAGTCACAGTGGCACGAACAAATTTGGATTTTTATTTTTCTCTACATGAAAAGGTATCAACTTTTCCACATGCAACGTAGACATTTTCACTTTAACAAAACATTGGCATGTGCTTTCAGAAACGCCATTTTACAAAGCTTTCTCTTTCTTTGAAATGAAAATTTTTTTCCCAATCAATTTGATGGCACAATATTAATAACTAAAACACTACGAATTGTATTAATCAGGTGGATGGTGGAGCCTGGAGTCAAGAAGTTACTTGAAAATAAAATAAAATAAAACACATGTCAGAAGTGGGATTTGAACCCACGCTCTCTATCGAGAACCAGAACTTGAGTCTGGCGCCTTAGACCACTCGGCCATCCTGACATTTTTGGACTCTTGTTAAATTCTTTCATTTTCCAGGCTCCAACAACGCAGCGGCGGTGCTGGTCCGGAGACGTGGAAATGAATCAAAATGATGAATAATGATGCAGGTGGGCAGCGGAGATGATTATAAGGTCCCATAGCCAAGTGCCTTCCTCGGCAACACTTATACATTGACGTGGATCAGCATTAGCATCAGCATCTCTTTTGCTGTAATTGCTAACCAAAAAGCAAAGTCGGTTCCTACTTTTGTTCAGTTCTCCTTTTAATGGCTTCAATTCCCAGGCCCCATGTATCCCCGATTCGAGTTTCGACCTTTGAATTGAGCCCAATTAAACTTTTAACATCATCTATATCTTTTTCTTAATTTCGTTTCATTTTTTAAAAAATCAGCAAAGTGATCAGGGTACGTGAAAGAAACACAAGTAATCACAATTAAAAGAATTGTTCATTCAAGAATCTAATATCTTATTTTCCTTAATGAAACATTTTCGAGCTGGTATGTTTTTCTCACGATCCAAACTGCGAAGAGAAACAATAGTTTTTCCTGGTACTTCATTTAACAACCACCTAGCTAGAACTAGAACTAAAAACAAAAAAAATCTCTTAAAAGATTAAAAAAAAAAAATGTCATGGAATTTATAGATATTAAGAATTGTCTTCATTGGCGTGTTAACCTTTAATTGCCAAAGAAAGTAGATCCGCTGATGAGTTTGTACGTAGTCGACGGCACTAGCAACAGGGACAGTCAACGGTGTCAAATTGAGTTGGTCACAGTGTAAAATATAGATCACAGCCTGCTGACGAGTAAATTATTCCACCACCGACCACCGTCGTGCTTCTCCGTCCATGCAACAAGATTTTCTTCGCTGCAGTTAGCTATAGTGGCAACTTCTTTAAACTTTCAATCATTTAAATGGAAGACCTAAAAGAGTAAGTAAAAACCAGCTTAATTATTTTCAAACATTTATAACCCTTTTTTCTTCTTAAGCTAAAGACTGAAAGACATCAAAATTTATGTTAACCATTGTTTCTTGTCATGTTAGAAGAAAAACATAGTAATAAATGTTTCTATAAATTCTATAGTAAGAGGTGTTTAGGTTTGACCTAACACATCTTTTTTTTTTTTACCTTAGCCAAGAGTGATAACAACATCGTTCATAATTAATTAAACCTTCAGAGCTGAGATTATTGGCCATATAATTTCTTCAAACACGTTTGTTAGGTGGATAAGTTGAAGCAGATCCTTAGTTTGGCCAATCCATTCTAGATTCTAGATCCTATTCAAGAGGAAATTTCAATCCAAGATATTCCACGATATAGAGTAGAAGGATAAGCAAAGACTTCCTGTAATTTTAAATGGAATTTGAGGCGTAAAAGCTTAAACTTCGAATCTCATCAATTTCACCAATCAAAGAAAAAACTAGAGAGAAATTTTTAGTTGTCACCTATTGCTATCGAAACAGAAGAGATTTAATCAGTTTAAGTACTGTTTCAGAAGCTGTTGATATGCTTCTCATGTCACCTTCTAGCCAAGTTACCCTTATTGTAGCCTACCACAAGGACACTGGGAAAAAGAAAGTGATGATCAAAAGGTGAAGAAAAAGTTGATTTTCATATTGCTAGCCCATTTCAGCACGTTTCAAAAGCCATCGAGATCATGAGAAAAAAGCACTATCCGATATATATTATACTTGCAATGACCTCAACCAGTTGATAAAGAAGACGATAACGATTAAAGTTTTGCTTAAATTCCTTAAAATTAAGCGACTAACCAAAGTCAATCTTTACTTTTATTTTCTTTATTTATTCTTTTTCATCTAATAATAAAGAGCAAAATTAAACAAATGAATAATCTCTTTTATATTCTCATTTACCTTGATTTGACAAATAATCATGTTACTGGATAATTTCATTCATCTAAAAACACTTCAAATGCATACATACATATATATATATATATATGGGGTATAATAAGATGAAAGACAAAAAAAATTGAAGGGTGCAGTAGGTTTTCTGTTTCTTGCAACTTTTTGACCAGTGTAGTAAAACTAAGTGGTCTTCCTTTTGTCGTTATCCAGCACTAGATATTAGTTCCAACTTCCATCCCATATATATATATATGGGAAAGATTTATTTATAGTAATGCAAGTGTTATATATATTTTTTATTATTAGATCAAAATTAAATTTATAATATTTATATTTAATCATTTTAATTCAATAGTAAAAAAATATATGAAATACTTAATAAGTGAATCTCTCTTGTAATAAGCAGAGAGCACGCCAGCTGACATAAAATTTATTTCCTATCATCAAATCGCCTGCTCCATTCCCGTTCCTGTCTACTCTTATTAAAAAAATAGGAACATCGAACTTAACCAATCTTTTTGGATGAAAAAACTCAAACACTCTTCCAATTGATGATCTGCCTCTCATTGTCAGTCACCAAACCAACACCTGCATTAAACCAACCTTTTTCTTCTTGTATTCATCATCACACTGGCATTAATGCTGCCATTTTCTTCCTAAGAGAAAGGTACAATCTCCATCAGCATTCACATATAGAAACATAGTTTATTTAATTATTATACCTCAAAATTTCATTCCAGATATGGCTCTGATCTTCTCCACTTGTTTATTCAGTCTGCTCTCCATCTTTCAAGGTAAGATTGTCAAGAATTCTTCCGACGTTTTCAATGTTGATTTATAGTATATAGCATTAACATTAACAGAGACTGCATTTATATATATATATATACACAGGGATTTCAGGGACTACATTTACAGTTGTTAATAAATGTGACCACACAGTTTGGCCCGGTATCCTTGGCAACACCCAGTTAGATAGCACCGGATTCGAGCTACCGTCAGGTGGGTCCAGATCCTTGCAGGCACCGCCCGGTTGGTCAGGTAGATTCTGGGGCAGAACAGGATGCACATCAGACCAAAATACAGGTCAACTCACCTGCCAAACAGGTGCAAGCCCCCCAGCTACGTTAGCTGAGTTTACGATCGGGTCAGGTACCCAGGATTTCTACGACGTTAGTTTAGTTGACGGTTACAACTTGCCAATGATCGTGGAGCCAAGCGGTGGATCAGGCACATGCTTGTCAACAGGGTGTATAAATGATGTGAACCGACAGTGCCCGACTGAGTTGCAGGTTGGGTCAGGTGATGCCTGTAAGAGTGCATGCGAGGCTTTTGAGACTCCACAGTATTGCTGCAGCGGCGCATACGCCACACCCAACACCTGTAAACCATCTGTTTATTCGGAGATGTTCAAAGCAGCATGCCCAAGATCGTATAGCTACGCGTATGATGATGCTACGAGTACATTTACATGTACAGGAGCTGATTATGCGATTACATTCTGCCCTTCATCTACAAGGTAAGCACTAAGGATAGGAGCTATGTTCCATCATTTTCTGTCCTTTTCTTTATGCTTTTTTTAATTATCTTATTTTTGGTTTTCAGGTGAGAGGTCAATTTTTATGTTAAATTGTTTTCGTTTATAAAATATTACTACTACTTTATTTGTGTTGTAGACTTGTAGTTGGGGTGGTGAGATTCTCAGTTGAGTCTGAAAATGTTCTCTTCTGTTTTGTTTTATCCTTTTGTAAGGCATAAGCTAACATGTCATGAGTCCGTTAGCTTGTGCCATACATATTTGTACGCATAAATTAATTGCCAAAGTCTTTTCTGACTGAGATTAGAATCCATAAGAAAAAAAAGTGTAAACAACTTAATTTGTTCCATTTATCCTTTTTTAACCATTGTTGTAGTTTTAAGAAGGTAAAAATAGCTCCATTTAGGTTTAATTTCCATATTGTCTAACATTTTTCTTGCTATAATTTTATTTCTACAGTAAAAAATCAGCAACTAATACGACCCCAACAACGCCAGGCACAACAGCAACGACGACGGGCACAACAGGGACGACAAGTACAACATATGGATCTATTACAGGGTCAGGAGAGGTCCCAACGGGAGACAATACTTCCTGGTTACCAGATTTTTTTATGGGAGAGTCTTCTAGGACTCTTTCTCCTGCTGTTTTCCATACCACATTGTTGGCTTCAGCGATTTCCTTTCTCTTCCTCTCTAGATTTTATTCATAATCTCCATGCTCTCCAAACATAAACCAACTTATTTTAACAACTAAAGTTGAAATTAATTTGGGATTCTTCTGGGGATGCTGTTAAGTGTTGACGTCCAGATTGAAAAGCCCAATTTTCCAGGCCATGTGTATAGAAAACAAAAACTACATTAATTTTTTTTCTTTATAACTTAGTTTTCGAAGAGTTGTACACCAAAAGCAACAAATTATAAAAGGGAAGAGCTTTAGTCATTGTTTTTAATTGATCAAGAAGGCTTTTGAAGAAAGTGTTACTTTGCTGTGAATCTGAGCAATCCGACTGGAGTTTCTTGGTGGGTAGCTGATAAAGGAAGCCAAAGGTTGCTGGAATTACAAGCATGGTAGTTTGATGATTTATTTTAGCCGGAATGAGTATTGCACTTATGGTGTCTTTGACAAGAGCCATTCTTCCATCATTTCCTTTTATCAAATTTCCTTCTTTTTTTGCAATTATCTGTCTGCAACTAAGCATGCATAACTAATTGATTGATCAAACAAACTTAGTGATACTTGTAATTTGTAAAAATTGATAAAGTTTTTATTAGAAAAAAAAAAGCTCTTTTTATGGTAAAAGGTCAGAGGATAACAAAGAAAAAGGAATCTAGTGCCTTTTTCCGCACTCCTTCTAAAGTTGTCGGTTAAGATCAGCATTGCTTTTTATAACTTGGGATTTGAGGTAAATTCTTAAGGCTTTGAAAGACTGCTTACTCCTTGGTATCTTGTGCATATTTCGGCACAGATACAGGGGAAGGAGTGCCTGAAATCAACCACGGATTCTCACCAATGGTCTCTTTTATCATGAAGAGATCAAGCAAATCATATGAAGTACCGGAAACTACACAAAAAACCCTGAATATGATTGTCATATTTATCTCAGAGTGAGCATTTTAAATTTCAACCTTGGTAGAAACTTTTAGTTCCAATAAAACGTGTGATAGAGATGGTCATAATTCAAGCATTTTCTCCATGTAAATGTAGATATGCCACTTAAATCTCTCCGGCTTTGAAGCTTGAGATAGAAAGGGAAAGGTTCCCAAATTTGTTAAAACACTTGGTAAAGCCCGAAAAAGCTACCGTTAAGATTCCATGTTCGGTGGGTTTTGAGCGGTGAGAAATTGGCAAACCCTTCTGATTTCCCCTAAAATTTGAAAGGAAAAAAGTGACTGTTCCTCTAGGCGTTCTTTCTAATTTGAAAGGAATGTCCATGGCCATTTTCCTTTGTTCAAAAGAGCCGAGTGGTCCAAAACCAAAGCCACCATTTTACCAAAAGGAAAGGAAAATTTTTCCCTTGGATCACAGAGAATATGATTAAGCGGCAAAGAAAGGGCTAGTGGATATGTTGGTCCAAGTTGTCCAAAGCCAACTCTGTTGAGCAGAGCATTTGCGGCTTTTGACAAAGATTCTTCCGTTGCAGCTCTGAATAGCATCATCCAAACCACATTTCAGAGTTTTCAATTAGTGCGACCCTCAAAGGCATTGTCTTACTCTCACAGCTTTCGTATTTAACAGGGTAAAAAAATGGCATGGTAATGGCTGTACAGTAATTAATGCTCCTATGCTTTTCAAGTTGAAAGAGCCCCACAAATTTTGGCCATTCTCAAATTGAAATTAAAACAGATGAAAAATGGTTCGCTTCATCCACTGAACGGCATAAAATTTGACGAATCGAATTAGTTTTTTAGGTACAGATAAAATCTAAAGCAATGGCAGATGATTAACATAAACCAACGACAAATAATGGTCTACTTAAAGAGTCCAAAGGAATCAAACCTGCTTCTTTTAAGCGCTCTTTTGGTAGTGCTTCTTTTATTTATTCTTTGTACGCCTCCGATAGAAGGCCAGCCAATGAGTAGATTTGCCTGTCTGAAATTGTTGGATAAAAGATGTGAAATCTTGTTCGTCAAAAGCTTCAGCGCGCTCTATGCACTAAAAAAATGGTATTATTTACTTGTAAAACTCTATGATGATAATTTCGATTGTTCGACAGGAGGGGCTTCCTGCTTTGGATAAAAAATTCATGACTATCCGAGGAAAAATAAAAAGGACGGATCCAGGGACAGCGATGTTAGTAACATCGTTCGTGGACGTTTGGACCAACTTGTTAAGGCTTAGGCCCAGAATTTAGCAGACAAAAGAATGTCCGCTTGATACATAGGGCCCAAAGGCTGGCCCTGTAATAGGTTCAAAGCTTTCGCCCCAGCTGACATCAGACGATTTTTTTTCTTAAATTTTACATCAGATGAAGGTAATGAGAAACAAAGCAACCGAAAATCCGAAAACCATTGCCATGCATTAAAAGAGTAAACAAAAATGCATAGAGCTTAATTTCAGCACCCCAACATTAATTAGATGCTAAAGACAAGTCCTGGCGACTATGATTACATTAACTCTTTCGTCTAAAGTTTTTTTTATCGAAGTTGTTTCAGACTTAAAATGCATGATGATGCAGTTTCATCGGGTTCTCTTGAAAGAGACCAAACTACATAACGGAAAAAAACTCATAATATCACAAAAGGCTTCAGACAATCTACAACTCATCCTTGAGATCAGAAGGCTCCATATCTGCATCATCTTTGGCAGGTTCAGCTTCGCTCTTCGGAGTGCCTGCACTGTCTTTTGTCTCAGACTCGGTCTCAGTTTCTTCTACATCATCATCATCCTCAATTGTTGCATCAGGACTGATATTTAGGCTTGATTTGACAGAGCTGTAGATGCGTGAGGCAAAATCCTTGGGATCGGGTAGATTGAAGCCACTCTCCATTAAAGCTGTCTGGTAAATAAGCTGAGCGGTTTGCTTCACACCCTCATCCTGAAGATCCAGCAAATGATTTCGTCAAATAAGAAGCTAGCAGAATGAACACCGCTTCCTACGTGTTAATGAATGCAATGCAGGACCAGACGTCATCCCAGAGCCAGATTCACAAAGTGCGCATCACTTTTTGGCACATACCATGAACACTTAGTGTGACGTGGTGAATTGCTCCTACTTACTACACATTCCAGCTCCATGAATATCATGCATGCAACAAATTAATGCCTACGACACACAGACCTATTGAACAAGCATGTTTCTATTTACATATGTACGTACCTCAGGGTCCTTAACAACTCTCTCACGAAGCTCCTTGATGATTGGGTGCCTTGGGTTGATCTCAAGGACCCTCTTGCCACGCATGTATGCTTGCTTGCTAGCATCCGATAGAGTCTGGGATTGCATGATTCTCTCCATATTAGCACTCCAGCCAAACTTTGATGTAACAACCACACAAGGAGTGTTGTCTAAACGGTTACTTATCTTCACGTCATCCACATTCTCACTGGCAAGTGCACCCTTCCACCATTTTGTTAGTTCCTTAAATGAATCCTTGAGTTCTTTGTTCTTAGAGTCTTTCCCAATTTTCAAGCCCTCTTTGGATACATTTTGAAACTGTTTTCCTTCATAATCCATCAAGTATTGCATCAGGTATTCATCGACAGGATCTGTGAAGAAAATAACCTGGAAATACCAAAGGCCATTCAAAACAAAGAATACAAGACAAACACGGATGGTAAGGAATAAAAATAAGGAAAGATGTGAAAAAGATGGTTTTGAATCAAACAAGTAATATCTGAAGTTAACAGCTAATACTTTTGCAGTACCTCATAATTTTTCTTCTTAAGCCTCTCCAAGAATGGAGATTTTTCCAATTGTTCCTTGCTGGTTCCTGTAATGTAGAAGATATCTTTCTGTCCTGGTTTCATTCTTGAGATGTACTGATCTAGTGAAGTCAATTTACCATCTGACTTGGTGCTGCATGGCAATTCATAAACTATCAGTCATTACTAGCAGAAGTCATGTCCAAAGAATTTATAGATTACCTTAAAAACTATTATATGAAGGGGTAAAAAACATTTATAAATTCAAATACCTCTCAAATCGGAGGAGTTTTGCCAATCGATTTCTGTTGGTTGCATCCTCAACGATACCAAGTTTAATGGATTTTCCAAATTCATTCCAGAACTTGGTATATTGACCCTTTTTCTCATCATCATCGTCAGACTTTTCGACTTCTGCATCCCCATCAATATTCAGTATCAATCATTAGCCCACATATAACTTGAAATAAAAGATTTTCATCTTGAAAGGCCATTAGGCCACAGTCTAGGGTGACATTTGTAAATTAAATTCAAAGATGCAATCATAACATGCCTTTCTCATCTTTGCCACTGGACTCATCAGGATCCTCCTCAGCAATTTTACGAATCATATCAAGGGCTTTCCTGATGAGTTTCTTCTTGATTGTTTTCAAACTGCTATGGGCTTGTAGCATCTCTCTTGACACATTGAGTGGTAGAGTATCAGAATCAACAAGACCCTGCCCAGCAGTTATCCATTCAAAAACCAATCAGATCACAAGGAAAAAAAAAAAAAAAACTACTTAGAAACCTCGTTAGTGCAGATTCAAGTCAACTAAAATAAATTAGCTTATCTTCAATTACCTTCAAAAAGCTAAGATACTTTGGCAAAAGCTCATCAAATTCATCAGAGATAAAGACTCGTCTAACATACAACTTCAAGTTTGCTTTACTGGAGTTATAGTAACTCTCATACAGATCATGAGGAGCCTTAGGTGGCACAAACAAAACAGCCTTGAACTCAACATCACCTTCAGCAGTGAAGTGGCTCCAGGCCAAGGGCTTCTCCTCACCAAAGTCCTGCAGAGCAACAAAGTATACACCAATAAAGGTTAGAAGCTTCTCCATAGAGTTTTCGGCAGTCTGGAGCTAGGAAATTTATGGCAAATTACCTTTGCTAGAATGTGATAGAATTTGGTGTATTCTTCATCTGTCACCTCCTTAGGACTGCGCAACCATATAGCCTTTACATCATTCAAAAGCTCCCATTCATTAGTAGTTTCCTTCACCTTCTTTGTCTTTGGTTTCTTTTCAGTGTCTTCATCCTCACTTTTTTCAGCATCTTCATCTTCTCCTTCCTCAGAAGAGCTTTTATCAGCTGTTTGTAGCAATAAAAAGAAGGAATAAAAACTATAATCAGAATATGCATACTCTTACGTCATTAAGGAAAAACAGCATCAGCAAGTCTTAAATAAACAGTAACAGGCTAGCTTTCAGTGATACATACTGGTTTCCTCCTCATCACTTGACTCATCTTCATCTGCAGGTACCTCAACATCAACCTCTTTGCTTGCCCAGATATAGATGGGGAAGTTGATGAATTCAGAATATTTCTTCACCAACTCCTGCAGATGAGAACCTCAGCAAGTTTTGTTAGCATATTTTCAAAAGCCCAAACATAAATAAATACATCAAACCACAAGTTCATGGAGATAACAATAAAAGGATGGCAACATTACAGATCAAATAAATCCCAAATAAAATAAGCATAACTTCGGTAAAGGTAATAAAAACAAACAAGACTTTAAATAAAAACAGCTACACTAACCTTCAATTTGCTCTCCTCCAAGTACTCCTGTGCTTCATCCCTAAGATGCAATCTAATCTCAGTTCCACGTCCCAGTGGTTCATTCCAAGTATCCTCAGAAATTGCAA